GGTCCTGACAGCATCTCATATGACATTCTCATGAACTTGTTAGGCAAACACAATCCAGGTGAAACTGCAAAATGAGCCTGGCTGGTTGGTCATACAAAAGGGGCAGGTGGGTGCCTTCGTGCCCCTTGCTGGGGTGGGTGGGATGCAGGGAGGAGAGAGGATGTATATTTTCATTGTCAAACTGAGGAGGAATGTGTGTGAGAGGACAGGATTAGAATTCAAGATAATCTTAATTTGGAGCTAAAATCTGGAAGAAAGCAGATTCAATTCAGGAGGAAAAAGCACTACATTTTTGAACAATATATTTGTGTAAAAATAAAAGAAAAAAAACCTGTACACATCTGGAGAGAGGATCTGAAGCTGATCATGATGTAAAGGAACAGAAATCCATCCGTGGCAAAAAAAGGCACCTTACCTGCATACTTCATATCCTAAAGATGCTAAGGGATCTCCTGATCCTGCAATGAGATGCCATCCTGTCTGGCATGCATGATGTATCAAATTTCTACCAGAAACACATAAAATCAATAGGTGCTAGGTAATTTCTTCACATATTTACCAACTCCATCTCCAGCGCTGTACTTGATGACTGGTGTCATGGCGCTCCCTTCATCAGTGATGCAGGTCACTTGAAATGAAAAGGCTGAGCAAAAAGGTTAGAAAATACTGTCAGCAGGAGAAGCCAAATTCTGTAGGTGTTTCTTTTTCACCATGCTCCACCACTAGAGATGGCCAGGTCTGAGAAAAAACAAGGCAGGCATAGCACATAACCCATCATAACCCACCTAAATCCCAGATTAGAGCCTCATAATCCCTTATACATGGGCATTGAACTTCTAAACGATGAACCATGGAAGATCATAGATAGTCACCACTATGATGTTGCTACAAATTATGTTCCTCTTTCGCCACCCCATCCTCCCTCTTCCAATGACATGTAACTGGCAACTTTCAATCTATTCATCATTTTGCCCTAAATCCCTCATTCTTTATTCATGGTTGATACAGGCATGTTAAGATCGTTTGAGTTAAAAAAAAAAAAAAAGGTATTAGCATCATTGCAGTAATCGGGAAGGTAAAAAAAAATTTACAAAATCCTTTGACATACAAAAACCCCGATGCCTTAAAAACAGAAAACATTTTTTTCTTGGTTTTTTTTTCCTTTTTTTTTCTTTTTTTCCCCTGTTGAAAGAGTTTCCTTGTATTTTAAAGATTGCAAATTTCTGAAAGAATCTGTATTTCAAAACATGGCTGATTCCAAGAGCTACTGACTTAATTTGGTTCAAATGAAAATTCAGGCTCCAGTCTTTTCTGAAGCTGATTTCCATGCATTTCCCAGAGTGCAGCCCTGAAGGGTGCAATTGCAATGCAGCTTGAGGACTGGGAAAACTCAACCCTTACAATGAGCCAGAGCAGTCTCACCCAGTCAGGTACAATGTTTAAGAGGAAGCTTAGCTCCAAGGATTTTTGTTTCAAGCGTCTGCTTAGACGCACTTCAGCGCGCCGTAGTATGCTCCTGTGCTCTTAGGTTGGGATGGCAATGGAGAGTTTTCCTTAAATTTAACACACAATTAATTTAGCTCAAGACTCTTTCACAGAGAGAAAGCTATTGGAAATTGAAACTCACTTTTGTCAGATGTCCTTGGTAAGTACAGCTCAGTGTCAAAGCCACTGTAGATGCGTTGCCCGCTCTCAGTTAACGCGTACTCCTTCAGGCGGCCATTCAGTACAAAAGTGCGACTCCAGTCTATGTGGATGGTGGATAAATTGCTGACAATGGAGAATGGAGCCGCGTACCGAGGTGCTGCAACAGAAGGAAAGAAGCTCATTTCTAGCCAACGGGCCTGACTGAGTTATACAGCTCAGAGAAGACTCTGCATGATACAAGCTGTCACATGCACTCCTTCTCTCTCTCATATACATGTGTATGAATAGGGGAGAAGGAGAAAAAAGAAAGCTGCCATAGCATGCCAGCCTCTACACTGGGAAAGCAGAAATATCTCATATCTTTAAAATGAAGACCTAGAACTCCCTTCCTTTCCTTTTCCTTTGTGTATATGGTACAGACACTAAAACTGTATAAATGAAATTCCAGCTTAAGGTCGGGGACAGGGAGGCACAGGAGGTTGTGCAAGTTCAGCTGCAGCATGCCAGGATGTGGGAACCAAAACACTAAGGAGAGGACTCTTTTGCAAGCTCCAAGAAATTGCCCAAGATCATCTTTTAACACGTGCACATACATGAACATGGGGTTTCAGAAAAGCAAGAGCAGATGGCAGGCAGAGAGAAAAGAAACCCAGAACTCAGTTCAGGGAGGAAGAGTTCATCAGCTGGGCTCAACAGCTTGCTGACAAAAGACTTCATTTAAGTTTGAGGTGGGCCTTTCTTGTGGCTTTGCCATTAAGCCATGTGCCCAGTATATGCTGGTTTGTTCATAAGCAAGCTGCTTGTCCAGCTGCGCTATGCTGCTAATTGCCCACTGTCACTAAAGCAAGCCTTCCAGGCAAGAGGAAGGAGACATTCGGAGTGACTCAGGAGAGCTGGTGTGAAGAGGTCAGCAAAGCAAGAAAAGCAAGACTGAAAGAAGAGGGCTGCAGACCCCATGGGCGGGGGTGTAGAAATGGCTTTCAAAACCTTGCATTCTGTATGTCTCACCAGTTCATTATGAATTTTCTCCATTTAAAAGTTCATTATCGTGTTCCAGCTTTTTAGTTTGCAATTTAATAAAACACAGCTTTAGAGATAAGGACGTTTTTCTTTTTTTCAGTGGTGACATTAAAGAATATCTGGGGCTGTTCCACCTGAAATTTTCAGCTAAGGATGTAGCAGATACATTTTTAGTAATTACTAGGCAGAACTACCAACTGATGCTAAAGGGATTTTTAGAAAGGTGATTCTGAAATCCTGACACAAGTGAACATCCTCTTTGCCCTGACCTGGCAGGCTGAGGTGAAATGCCCATCTCATCTGTTATGGAATGACTCTGGCTACAGCACTATAGATCTTTTTAATAAAAGCTGATGTTAGGCTACTACAAATTCAGTTTTGATGGCAAAACCTATTCTGACTGTTAGGCAGAGGTCCTGCATGTTAAATTTCCATGCAGATCACCACATGGCCTTAAAGTACTGCCTGTGGTGGTTAGATAGGTAGCAACAAATTCTTACTTCATTGTCAACAAGGACCCAATCATTCAGATGTTATCCAAGGAAAACTCTCATGAGCCCTGGCAGAAGTGTGGCATGAATTAGGACAGTAAGATTGTTCCTGAAAAGAATCACCAGGTCTCTTTCAAGATCTCTGCTTTTCCCAGGGATTATTTATGGCAATGTATTTATTACTGCACATCACCCTTCTGGTAATACTTGAACATTTTATGTTCTGCAGCTTTGCTGCCCATTCTCAGTAAAATAAAAGGTTTCCAGGCTCCCAAGACAGAGGATGTGATATCAACTGATGAGCAAAGAAATATTTTTGAAGGAATGAGCAGTCAAGCCCCAGAGCGGAATTTCAATGAATGGGCAGCAGGGACACAGTGACCAGAAGAGCAGGTTTCTGGGGACGTCATCTTTCACAGAGGTGGAGAAGTCATTTGGTGCTATGCGGCCCCGTGCATCAGAGGCAGGCATTGCTGATTGGTGAACCATTTCTCATACTCACGCTCCTTTTCCGTAGTGAAACCAATCCATTCTGAGGCGCTGCTGCCAACAGAGTTGTAAGACACGACTCGCAGGTTGTAAGTCGTGTAAGGCTCAAGGTTGGACACGTTGGCACTCTGGCCTTTTCCCGTATATTTCACCTCAGTTGGGCCAGGACTGCAAGCCTTCACTGCTGGCTGTAGGTTCAGAGGACAAGCCATATACACATGGAGCTCATAGCTGAGAAGAAAGTTGAGATTTTGATTAATCAAGAGCCTTAATAGCATAACAGCCAACCATACATTTCATCCAAATTGCTGTATGTCTGGCTACCAGAGAAGAGAATGGACCTGATCCCAGTTTTTCTCTTGGAGATTTTGGCCCCAAGTGTAAGATGCCTACAAGCAATCGTGGTTGTCAGTCACACTCACAGTGAAACTGTTGATGCCTGTTACCTTGCTGCTCACTTCTGCAAATCAGTATTTGCCTTAATAACTACAAGATGCAGCTGCCTCTTCGCTGCCAGTAGATCTCACGTCTTTTTGGCTATGCAGCAGCCACAGCTGTCAGAAAATTACCTCCACTCACAACAGCTCATCCTCTCCACCTTCATCCCCCCCAATATCCTGCTCAGGAGAAAAGCAATTGTTGTGTGTAAACACCTCCCAGATGGCATTTAGGCCACACGGAATATCACCATCAACACTAGGAAGGAGGAGCATGGCTGTGACAACTGTCCAGTGCTCTCAGCCCTGCAATTCCAGCTCACGTCCAGGAAAATTGTTCTGCCACTGCCCCTAGCTGAGGTGGGCAGTTTTGGCTGGGTGGCAGCTCCTACCTGGTAACAATGCCATTGGGTGACTGAGGGGCGCTCCACTGGAAAGAGGCGTTCCTGGAGGTCACGGTTCGGATCTGCGGGGGCGGCTGCTCCGAGGGTGGAGCTGGCTGCGTGGTGATTTGGGCCATGGGTCCTTTGCTGCAACAGTTGAAACAGGTGCAGGCCTCCACGCCAATGGAGTATGTGGTAAAAGGTTTTAGCCCGTGTATTGTCTGCTGGGTGGCAGTCCCTTCTGACAGCTATAAAAATTAAGAGGGAACTTGTCACAGCTTCAAGCACCACAAGTACTAAATAAGAGTTATGGAGGTGAATTAACTCCAGAAGATGACGGGCACAAGGTTCTGCATGTCCTTTAAGTCTGACATTAATGCAGCTGTTGTGTACTGGGAACTCTGCATTCATTTTTCTCCCATTACGAAGTTAAAGGGCACTGTTCAAAGGAAAAGACCATGCCATCAGTGGCCTCACAGACATCTTGACTTGATCTGTGACCACTGTATGTCAACTTGCAAATGTCATTCTCAGGAACAGAGAAAAAGAAAACCTTTAAGGGGAAACTCTGGGATAAGTGCTACTGAAGCAAAAAGAAGTTAATGTGGAAAATAGCTCCATGATAAATGTGCTAGCAAATACTTATGCATATCCCACAAGATTCCTCAACGTGGATACAGGAGACCATATTGGGCAGAGTGATACAAATGTGTCTGGTGGGTCAGTTTACTCACAGACAGGAGAATGTGCTCTCTGGTAGGTACCTCTATGTTGAGGGTCAACAGGATGCTCTGCATTCAGATGGCCATGCTGATGGGCGAGCCTGTTAGGAAGCTCTCCTACACTCAGCAAGGGAGACCTGGCAGTTCTGGCAAAGGAAACAGTGCCCCCATTCTGAAACTGCTTGCAGGAACTGCCACTTCACCTTGCTGCTGTAGTCATTTGCAGGTATAGCTTCTTTAAGCCAAAGAAATAAAAATATGTAGAAAACACCAATGAGGGGCAACATCTGCTCCCATTTGGCAGCATGTGGTTTAGCAGAGTGCAGCAAAAAGTAGGAAGGAAAGAGTCAAGTGAGCAAAGGAAGGCACCTGGTACTTCTTGATGCCAGAGCCGGAGACAAACCAGCAGCATGGCAAGTGTGAGGGGATGGAAATGAGGGCCATGCAGGCACCAACGAGATGAACTGGCTGAATCAGACATGGACACAGACAATTGCACTGGAAGGAATAAATGCATAGTGTGAATTGGTAGGCAGCTTAAGCTCACAGGCAGGATTGGTGACCTGGGAAGGTGTCCCTAGCACTTCCAAGCTGAGCAAGATGGGATAAGGGAAAAAAATCCCATACAAATATTTACCTACTTGTAAAAAACAAACAGTGTTACAGACAAAAAGTATCCAAGTATTTTGCACTGATTTGGTGGTAACTGTTCCAGGCACCTTCCACAGCCCTAATCTTTCCCCACATCTCCTTGTTTTATAACTTTAATGAAACCCTGCAGATTTCCTAAGCTGAGACTGGCCATTTCTGGACACCTAAGGGTGTCTAGACTGAGACCCCAAACACAGGAGGAGTTGCTTGGCTACTTGCACTGCTCTTCAATGCTTTATGATGAAATACTTCCTACCAACAAGAAAGATTTTAAGGGAAGTTCATGTACAGCACTTTCTTCTGAACTTCAAAACCATAGGCTATCCAAAGCACACAATTATTTCCTAATGGCTGCAGTTTCCGCCTGCAGCATTTGGACTGGCGGGAGCTGTCTGGAAGTGTTTCATTTGGAAGGTTAGCCACCCCTGAACCATACTTCTGATTGTCAAAGCACATCCCCACGTCGGAAGTGTTTAATAATGAGGTTAGTTCCTTGAGAAGCACATTTAGATTAGTGAAAGCGCTGGTGGTGCTTTGGCCAGAAGACAGCATTGCAGAGCGGTTAACAATGGGAGTGCAGGAGAGGAAGACAGTCTGCAACCAACAGTAGCACTTTGTAAGAACAGAATTGTTAAAGCTAGAAAATACAAGCTCAAATGGAAGTACAGAAATGGTGTTGACAATACTCACCACCACATCAGTCCCTCTGGTATCATTAGAAAACAGCCTGTAGATACTGACCACCCCGTTTGGCTTAAGAGGGGGGCTGATGTTCACCACAGCCACTGTGGATGCCACTGTGTCAAAAAGGGGAGCTTCCAGGCCCTCAGGAGGGGCAGGGCCCGTCCGGCAGCGGGACCAGCTGCTTGGCGTCCGTCCCGCTGAGTTTACCGACCACACCTTTGGCACACAAAAACAGAGAAACTGTTAGCAAAGGACTCAAGCCTACAAAGCATCCACAGTTAGCCAGGGATGCTACTGCAGCTGTACTGACACTGAGAAAAACGCAGCGCAATGACACCCATGCAAGAAGTCCCTTGACTGCTGCCCAGTACCTGTGTTGACTCAATGACTTTCTAACAAAAGAGTGCAGTATTTCCCACAGCTACCTTTAGGTAAAACAAGCAGATTTCATGTCTCAGGCAGCGTGTATTCATGTATCTTCTTCATCCCTGATCCCCAAACTCTGAATTCCCACCACTGTCTGTGTCATACCATGCAAAGAGGACTCCTTGAGAAGCTGTGATCAACAGTCATAATGTTTTCAAAGACATCTGAACAAAAATATTGGTATCCAGCCCTGCCAATTACTCCCTTCTACACACTGTCTTCATGTATGTAAGCAACCCTGATGAATTCAGCCTGGAACTGTGTGACACTTAAGTTACATTCACCTTGACTGAATCGCACAAGCCAAACTCTACTTACTCTCTAAAACCGGAAAGTTTTACAGGAACATCCCTGTCTTAAACATACTAATGTAGCAGTCATTTGGCAGCATTTTCAGTAACCCATAATATAAATAAAGCCCATTGAAATGCATAGTTAAGTCAGCATCTCTCATTTATTTTCACAACATTTGCTTTATTACATGAGCACAAAGGCAATGGCTTCAGCTCCCAGATTTCAAAATTTAGCAGCTTGAATTAGGCCTGATTAAAAACCACATGTCTCTATGAACTGTGCCTACTGGTTTTGTCAGCTTCCCAAAACCAAAGTGATCTGCAGACTACATAACACTCAGCACTTATTAAACACACTCTCCAACAAATCTGCATGAAAATTAAATTTTGCTTTCATCAAGGAGTGAATAAACATATGGAAGGATGTATAATCTTATTTATCAAAAACCATTTGTATAATTAAACACGAATATCATAAAAGGTTGCCTTAGGTCATAATTTGCATGAGTAAGTAATTTGTAGAATGTCAGGTACAATAGACAGAATAGATGGATGCGTGAGCATATAGGGTTAAATTAGGCTCAATATTAGCCAACCACATAGTGATCAATCAGAATGATAGATCTAAATGGCAATACAAGAGGACTGTCTGAGTGATTTTTAGTATAAGTATTCCTTAGTAAGCTTTCATGTCGAGCAGTTCTAACTACAGTAAAACACGTTCTTATGTGATCTACTCTGGGCAGAAGTCCTGGGGAAGTGGATGGTGGGACTATGCCTTAAGAAAAAAAGGAGATTTAGAAATAAGAGGTCTTCAGAACTGACCCTGGAGTCCTTCCAACTTGCAATATTAAGTTCCAAGATCACAGGACGCTTAAGAAGGATCCTGGGGAAGGAAAAAGGCCAAAAACCACCACAGTGGCTTTGAAGACTGGTTCTGCCAATTACAAACCCAAAGTTCCTGCCCGATTCCATCAGTAACATATAGCACCATCCAGTGAAACATTACATAAATACGGGTGACATTCTACGATAAAAAGCTCAGCCAAAGCACTTTCATTTTCAGTGAAATCAGTAATATATCTCCATTGTGAACTTTTCATAAAGTCAAACTCTGTTCACTTTACTGCAGTAGGTCAAACCCTCTATCTCAGTTCAGTTCCAGCTGCTACAAAGATTTGCCCACAGTCGTTCATTTCAAGGGGCATATTTCTTTGTGGAAAGAATAAGCCACATATGGAAAGAGCAGCTCTGAGTGTGCCACTGGCAACGACTTAGCACTGACCTGAGCTCAAATGCTCCAGTTATATCCAGGCTGTGGCCTTAATGAGCACAGAGCGTAACAGCGTTGGAATTGACCTGCCAAGCAAGCTGCCCACAGCAAAACTGAAGGTGATGAGTTAGGAATAGAGGCTTCCTGTGTAGCACAGGAATTTGGCCTCAGAATGTGACCCCCTAGGAATTTTGGAGAAGGATGCAACTCACGTGGGAAGCAGACACCTCACTGAGGGTTGGATGGAGACACTTTCCTCCACCAATCCCTCTCCTATCATAGGTGCCCATGCCTTGTCTTTCAGAAAGCAAGCCTTATTTCAGACAAACAAGGGCTCTTTCTTTCAAAACACTGTCTTAGGACAAGGCTCATCCCCTTTGATACTACAGCTAAGTGGTTAAAGGACTCTTCCAGAGGCAGGTAGGTTCAATCACATGCTCCAATGGAGACAGTCAGCCTGCCACCCTCCAAAGTGGGAATGCCCAAGTGGATGACCCATCTTTGCACTTGGGGTGCTCCCAGTGGTCCCTTCAGAGCTGTTTCACTTTGCATGAACACAGTGAAATGAAGGTTGACTGGGCAGAGCACGAGCAACCGGGAGCAGACATGGTTCCCCAGACCAGCCCTTCCCCAGGGAGGTGTGGAGGAGCTGAGGTTGTGGTCCATCCCCTAGGCGCCACACATCTGTCCCTCTTGAACAAAGGCTGAGGTCATGGCCACATGTGTGTGGGCCTGACAGACAGGCAAGCTCTGAGTGTGCCTTCTGGACAGACACCAGCTGCTCAGCCCTGCCAAGACATGTGTCCAGCAGAAAAACTCCAGGTGTCTGTGAAACTAATGCCAGCTTCTGAGACAGCTGTGACAGCTAAACAGGACTTCTGAGTATCTAAATTCTGGATTTACACTGACCTAAGCTGGATTCCCTTAACTCCCTCTGCTTCTGCTCAACCATCTGTAAAAGGATGGATAAGTATAGAAATACTTCCCTTTGAGAACTGCCATCCAAGTAAATCCTGGTCAGCGTTTGGAGACTTGGAGCAGTAAGTGCCCAGAACTGACTGCAGATGGAAATGCTGATGTTTAGCCACTTCTTTGCATGAAGAAATGGGACAGCACGGCAACAGAAGCCACAAATAGAAGTGCCTGTTAAAATCAGAGGTTTGGTCATGGTTCCTCAAAAAGTCACCACAAAACAGTACAGATGAAAGCTGTTGCCTGGCTAGCCTGGTTAAACTGAAAATTCATGGTTTGGACTTTTGTAAAAAGCTTTTTGGGCTCACAAAAATTCCTTCTAAATTGTGATATAATCAGCACCAAAAAATATTTAACTGCATTCATATAGAAATGTAAAGAGTTTAACAGGCAGCAGTATTACCTGCTGCTTAAAATATAAGAAGATTATAAAAGAGCACACAGGAACGTGGGGCAAACAAGAAGCAATCACATCTCAGGGATGTGTTGAATGTCAAAATACAGGCAGCAGAAAAGTTTCTTATAACTTGACTTTCTGAATATACTGCCTCCAAAAGCATTAAGTCTGACATCATGGTGCATGGCTCAGCACCCTGCCAAAAGACGTGCTGCTGTTAATGGCTGCACTGTCCCCAAAAAGCCAGGAGAGGGCTCTGAAATCAGGTACACGGGTTACTATTTAAAATGTTTTATCAATCTGCTGGCCCCTGGCCCAGACTGCACTTTGAAGTGGAGCCAGAGAGAGAGAGAGAGGGGAAACCTCTCTGGAGACCGTATATTCGGAGGACTGAAGAATTCCAGTTACAGGTAACTAAGCTTGGGTTTTTTTCCATCATAAATGAGCTTTCACAGATCTCTGCTCCTGGAAGAAACCACTAATCAGCCATTGCTCAAAATGATCACAGGACAACCTCAAGGTTCATTGGCACGGCAAGAAGGGGCAAAACCCATGAGGAGCAGAAATGGAAGGGCTGAGTAGATGGCCACAGCCTTACCACGGTGACCCCAGCCTGTTCAAGCTTAGTAAAGCTGAGTAACAACTCCTCCCATAAAGGGCAACAAAATCACAATGGCCCTCGGGTGTAGATGCAAAAAAATCATGGTACTGTAGACGCTGACAGTGGAAGAAGCCCATTAGATGACTTACTCCATCCCTGAGCCACACAGGTTCATCTGCTGCAATACTCTTGAAACCCCAGGTCCTTACCAAGGAAGCTGTGTTTTAAACTAAAAAAGAAGTTTTCTTTGATGAAATTGAGGTCATATATGAAGGTATTTACTCCATACAGGACGTAGTAATGGGAACTGAGGGAAACAGCTGGATGTATGCTACCACAGCTCCTCCCACACTGCAGCGCAAGAAAGGCACTAGAAGAAGAAAAGCAATGATAAACCATGCGAGCACTATCGCCTCACTGTGATGAGAAAGAGAAGGTGAAGAAGTTGCTAAAATAAAGCACTCACACTAATGCCCCTCAAAGGACAAAGATAGTCCAGGATTAAGGCAGAAAACACAGTGCGTGGCCAAAAGTTCCCCAAAACAAAAAAGTCATCACTTGATCACATGACTCCGATTAAGTGAAGGAGCACAACCCCAGCTAACTGAGCAACGGTTTGGCAGAGGACATTGTGTGTACACTAAAGCCTGCCAGCTCACAACACTTGCATCTCAGACCTGGCTCAAACAATGTGACAGGTATTACGTCTGCAAATGCAGGGAACAACTGGTATGTCCCCAAGCGGGAATTCTCTCCGCTCCTGCAAAGGGGAGCCTCGGGCAGCTGACAGCCTATGGAGAATGAGAAACTCTCCCTTACTGGAGACATCTCATTCACTTCTGCTGAAGCATGGCCAGGCAGCAGCAAGCACAAGGGTGGACTGGCTGGTGATATCTTGCCTGTCTGAAGGCAGCAGTCCTGAGCTCCTGTTGACTTCTCAGGTCAGGGAGAGCTGGGATCCTCTGCTTTGCACGGAGGCCAGATGCTGCTCACCCTTCCTGGTTGCAGGAAACCAGCAGAAAGGCGAGCAAGCCAAACAGCTGACTACTGACCAGCAGTGACTCCTGACGCCCACCACGTCCTGTAGGCACTGTGCATCATACTGCTTCGTGCTGCAGTTAATCTGCAGTCCCTCACAGTTGCCTCTGTGAGGGACAAGATCTCAGCTCTGTATGTGGCAGCAGCTTGCACTGAGCACTCAGAAAACAGCCTTTGGCCTTAAAAAAGTCTCATTAGTAAATCACTACCTACCTT